CACAGTTTGCGGATGGATGATTGATGCTTGGGCTAACGTATCTGCTGGCACTGTTGTTTGCGCTTTTGCAAAATCATTTCCGAGGAGCCGCCCGGCACGGAAAGTGAATCTGACAGTGAAGAAGGGGAAATTGGCGTGTCTGATTTAGCGCAGCTGTTTAATTCAGATGATGATGAGGATGATGACTTCGATGGGTTTGATTAATACTTTGTAATAAATACTTGAATAAAGCACAATCATACTCAGTTTTTTGCTCCCGCTCTATTTTTCTACCTGAAAACTTAATTCAACAGCAGCCTCTGGGCCGGGTGACCTCCCCGCGGTTCACCGCGGCGGCTGGCAGGTGTTTTTCATCTAAATAATCTAAACTGCAGGCAGCAGGATAATAAAAGCGAACATATTCTGTCGGCAGGTTTCAGGATTTTAAGTTAATTTATGCGTCAATAAACTGTTTCAGAGGAGCGATCACAGCCCTGTGTCATCAGCGATGTGTCTGTCTCACGGCCAGCTCCCAGGTTTGATTAATACTTTGTAATAAATAAATGAATAAAGCACAGTCATACTCAGTTTTGCTCCCGCTCTATTTTTAAATACACAGTAGAGGTATTTAAACGTGGTGGAGGACATGCACCTGTATATAAAACCTGCGCCCTATAGTCCGGTGCGCCTTATGTGTGTGTTAAATACAGTCATGGCACACATAACTGAGACTGCGCCTTTTAGTACGGTGCGCCTTATGGTCGTGAAAATACGGTATTTTTTAATTTGACGAACCTGAATTTCTCTGTTTTATGGAAGTAAATCTGTGTCGTTGGGATTTGAATTAAAAATGGCACTGAAATTTAAATGTTGTATGTTTTTACTTACTGTTTCAGTGTTAAAATATATTACACATTTTTGACCTAAAAAAAAATCATTGTCATTATTTCTACACAGTTGAAATTTCATTTGTTATTTTCTCTTTAAGCTAAAAATTCACATTACTATTTCAAAAGGAATACATTTTCAATACTTATTTTTCAGTTATATATCCAACTTAAAAACAACTTCACCACAGATTTTTTAGCACAACAATGTGAACTCACTATCAACCGGAAGTTTTAGCTTAGCATGTTGATCTCCTCTAAGCAGTTGAGGCTAAAATCCACAGCGTGCATCATCAGGGAATCGTTTCTATCAAGTGTTTCTTACCTATCCGGTGTAAGATGATCTGGGGGATCCTGGTGAAATCCAAGAGTAGATGTTGATCGTCCATCTTTTCCTCCGAATTGACCAAACTCCCTTTAAACTCCGTGAATGTTTCTTCAGCAGGAGTTAACTGCTGGCTGATAAACTATCCTTGAAGCTGGACTGAAGACGTTCTCACTGCAAACACTCCCAGATTATCAGCCTCTCTACAATGACTCCACACACAAACTAAACTAATGCTGCTATTCTGTTCACTCTGTTCGCCTCATGGTGTGCTTTGTTCTTCTATCATGGCGGAAGACAGACCATCTGTTACGGTGCATTACCGCCACCTGCTGGACTGGAGTTTCCACAGAGATTTACCAAGTACACCTCACTGCAACACACAGAAAGGGGCGGGGACGGACCTTTCCGTCAGTCCCATACCTTATTTGGATATGGGACTATTTAATTCCGGAACTGAAGGGGGCGCTAGTGAGACTATTTCCTGTACCGACCGTTTTATAAAAATCATAGTTATAACTTATTTTATCCTCCAATAACAAAAATGCTGTTAAAACTTAATCTTTATGCTTAAAATGTAAAGTATTTATGTAATCCATTCACATGCTTTAGTTTACTATTGCTATTCTTACTTTTATTCAGTTTTATTAATTTATTTTTTACTTTTTGCTCAAACCCCTGGCGATTGTTCACTGGAAATTGTACTTTTTTCCACTTAAAGTCAACAATAATATATAAAACATACAAGTAAACAAATATGCCAGGGGGTATGTTACAAATAATAAATACAATCAGGAGGAAAGACAAAGAGATTGACAAACATGCACTGGGGAGTGTCATGAGTTCATATGTATGTATACATATATACATTATACAAATAAATATTTCTTCTACAACATTAAATTGTCCAGAATTTTTAGATGGGAACAGATTGCCATGTGCCTTCTGGTGAGAAAAGAGTTGAATAGCATGAAAATATTGCTTGACTTGAATTAAATAAAAATTAAAGTCTGGCTTTTTTTTTTTTTTTTTAGATTAGATTAAATTTATGCAAGTGTAATTTGGCCATGATAACTAAAAGATTAATAAGGAAATGTTTAGGAAACATTTTACTTTGCAGTTGAAAACCAAATAAAACATCTTTCCAATGAAGCACAAATCTTTTCCAATATGGAACAACAGCAGGAACAGACGCCACCTCTCTCTGAAAGAGGGATCTGATTGACTTATTGTTCTTACAAAGAGACGAGGTGAGACATATTTTGCCAACAGGAGAGTCCATGAGAGTCAGAGAAGGAGATGAAGAGCAATCGAGTCTCGGCCTCTGTCTGTATAACATGCAAATCCCAGCTGAAATAGAACCAAAAACCTTTGCATATTCTCCAGAAGCAGGAAGGTTCAATATAGAAAGGAACCCTTCATAATTCAATAAGGTCCCATTATCATTGAACGGTTGATGAACCAGAGTAATACCAGGACTGAACCACAAATCCAAAAACAATGACCTTTTTTTGTACAGCATGTCCTTATTGCTCCAAATGAAATACAGGTGAGGTGAAAAGATGTGCTTGTAGATAAGTGACCATGGCAAAAAAGCCTGGTGGTGAAAATTGGAGAGTTTGATAGAAATGTATGTAGGCTATATCAAAATAAACCAAGAAAAAGGTTAAACCCCCAAGTTTTGAGAAAATGTGATGAGGAATAGTATTCCATATAGAAGTTTGAGATGCGAAAAACTGGTGAATCCAATTTATCTTCAAAGTGTTATTTAAGGAAGAGAAAGATAAACAGTTAAGCCCTCCATTTTGATATGAGTTAATTGAAGTCGATTTTCGAATGTAATGGGTCCTATTCTTCCAGACAAAGTTAAAGAGGAATTTGTCAATTTCCTTTTCAGTTTATCAAGATCTAGAGCCTGAGCAGCATAAGTTAGCCTAGAGATGCCCTCAGCCTTACTAAGAAGAATACGACCTCATAGTGAAAGATCCCTTACCAACCACTGATTAATGTTAATTGATTGTTCTTTACACAAGTACAAAAAAATATGCATCAGCAACAGAGTTATTTTATGTTTATGTTATTTTATATTTATGTTAAGGCATGTAGGAAGATTGTCACTAGGGTTTATAACGGTCCTTTGAAAAACGGAATTGTTCCGTATTTAGAAATAAAAGTATCTGTCCCGTATTTAGTGGAAAAGGAACGCACTTTGTCCCGTGTTACTGTGAGAGTAAAAAAATAATCAATAAAAAGCTAATGCAAAATGAAGAACAAGGGCAGCTTAGATACAAAAGTTACAGTAAACTTGTTCCTGGACCCTGTCCTGCGTTGTGACCAATGACCTGATAAAATACATTTAACAATCCAGAATACCCTCATCCTATTGGTGGAGCCAAGTGTTAATCACGGAGAAGATAGCGGGAGACATTAGAGCAGTATGGGGGATGAATGGAGTAATTTAAACGCTGACGCTGCTTTGGGGGCAATGCACCTTCACATAGTGATGCTCCTTCTCCTCCGAAAAAAAAAGGATTCAGAACTATAGGGAGGAATGGGAAAAAACAAATACCTGGGTGGAAAAAGTCTGTGATAATGAATATAAGCACATTCATAATATGCATCTAATTCAATGCAGATTTGAGTCAGATAGGCAATCAGGTCAGCTGGCACGCACATGAGGTGTCCCTAATTGTCACCCTCCTAAATACTGGTTAGCTGATCGGCCTATGTTGGTGATAGACGGGCCAAATAAACCAATCAGATCAACGAAGCATGTGACGTACTAACAGCCAGGCTAGTCTTGCCGAAACCAGTCGGGAGAAGAGCAAAAACATCTTTTCCTCTGAGAAAAGCCTCCAGAGCAGTGTTTTGCTCTTCTTTCAGTGAAGAAATACTCTGTAATTCCGATAAAACTTGCTCGATAGCCACGCTAACGCTAGTTTCATCGGCTGAAGCCGCCATGTTCTTTAGACTGAACTGTCGCGCTTCTCGTTGCGTCACACCTCAACCCGCCTCAAAGCCAACGCTGATTGGACGTTCGTTTGGTGAACGGCTCCAAATTTTCTTCAAGAGTCTCCAGACTGATTAGCGAGTGAAACCTTGAAAGATCGCGAGATCAGGATGGTCTCACGAGGCTACCAACTTGGCTCTACATTTAGAGGAAATTTGAGCCCAAAACCAGTTTTAATCTTGTCATGTTTATCTCATGTTATGGATAGATTTTTTAGCATTTTCACTGATGGGAAATGTTGTGAAATAAATGTACAGTTTTTGGTTTTATTAGAAATCATGGAGACGTTAGCAGGAAGAATCTTTCTGTGATATTTCCACTGTGAAAGGAAGCTCTGCCTCAGATCTCTCTGGGTTTTTCAAAGCAAACAAGGCTTTGAGCCGAGGAGATCCGAAGGCTAACAGGGTTAAAATGTCGCCTTATAAATGAGCTGCATCATTACATCATGGCTTCCCTCTTTAGCCTCTATTCATCAGTATAACTGAGACAAAAGGTCCAGGCTCCTGGAAACCACTGGTGTGACACTAGCATCGTTCATCATAACCCTGGCCTGAATCTGACTCTGCCTGATGATCCTTCAACACTTTGTCCTCCTGCTTAGAGCTTAATGATGCCGCCATGTTCAACCCAAACTGGTACTGAACCACAAATCAGGACGGAACGTTCTGACTCTAACGTCTCTTTATTAATGACCCCTGGTTGGTGGAAATGATGCATTCTGTTCAGTAGGCTCCTGTTCTGAGGATTTAAGGTGTTGTGAACAGGAGCAGCCAGCCTGATGACGCCGTGGGAACGTCGGTCACAGCTGCATGTAGACGAGCGGTGCTGGAGACTGCAGCTCCTGGTCCAGCAGCCTGAACATCATGGCGCTCCTGTTGCTCTGCGGTGTCTGTCCCAGCGTGCGGTAGAGCTGCGCCTGGAGGTAGTGGACATCCCGGAGACGCTCCTTACAGCTCAGCTTGGAGAAATACGACTCCGCCTCGCTGAGACAGTCAGCCGCCAGCGCCGCTGAATGCAGATCTGCCATGACGGGATGAAGAAGAGAGTGAGACGTGGGAGCGTCCAGACGGCTGGATCAGAGCATGTTTAGAGGCTAAATGTTACCCTTCAGCCGGGCGACGGCCATGTGACAGCGAGCCGCCAGCAGCATGGCGCGGCCTCGGTCCATGACGGCCCCGTGGGCCAGGATGGGCTCCATGGCTTCATGGAGAACAGCCAGAGCCTGCTCAGGGATGCCCAGCATCAGCTGGAGGAGAATAAAAACACAATATTTGGAGTTCAGAAAAGAACAAGAAGTTTGTCGGTTAATGGGAGAAATAAAGCCGTGAACAGATCTGCAAAAAACATCTTACTGCTGGATGTCCGGTTTAAGAAGACTGTAAATAAACTATGATGATTAGAGTTAAAGTTGATCATTTCTAGCGTTTTTTTTTCTCCTCCATTCGTCCAGCAGCTGTTGCTTTAGCCGCTCCATCGGTTTTCTATTGTTAATCAGTCGTTTGATTTAATAATAAATGTTTCAATTGTCATTTAATCATATAAATGGAGGAAGAAGAAAAATCAACATTGGCTTCAAGAATTGCCTTAAAAAACATCAACTGGTTCATTTTTTATTAGTTAGGATTTATATGGATGATAATGATTAACTAACCATTAGCAAACCATCCAAAATCAAAACACAATTTAGGTTCTTTAACCTTTATTTTACCAGGAAGTCCCTTGAGATAAAATTTATTTTTCGAGGGAAACCTGGCTGAATGCAGTTTTTCTTTCCACTGTTGCTTAATTAACTTTATTGAGCTCACAGCAGAGAAATCTAATCTTACATCAGCTAAAATAGTCAAAGGAGAAGAAGAATGTGCCGAAGGATGAATGACCTGCTTTATCGCTCCTTTTTATAAACAGGCTGTAAAAGTCTTTCACTAAAGGAGCTGCTCAGCTGGTTCAGGGGGAGGAAGGTTGTTGTCGTATGTTAAAATGCCGTCAGATCGTCCAGTTATTTTCTACGGTTTTCTACAGAGACACGTCTCACTGGGTCTCTTGACGTTATTCTGCGATAACTTGGTGTCGGCCATGTTGGATGCGGCAGATCTGCTGTTAGACTTATTCAGTATTAAAGGGATTTTACTGTCATAATTCATAGTTGTGATATCAAAATGTATTTTTTTGTAATATTCTTTAGATTTTATGGCTTATTTTGTCATTAAAATAAAACAATCTATAATTAGGCCCACATACATGTAATGTTTAGAATTTTATGCTCATGTTTTTTCCTCATAAAATGACCTCATTTCCACAATATTTCCAATAATTTTTTTCACTGCATTTTTTCTTGTAATATAAGTTATAATAAAAGGATTTTATATTTTATTATATTCTCCCTTTATTCACTCTAATCTAATATGTGTCCATAATATTCCATCTTAGATCTGTACATCTATAGCAGATACGGTAAAAGTTCACATGTGACACGAATGTTTAGTTTAAACTGAATAACCTTCATCTTCTCACTGCTGATTCCCATTTTTTCCTTTAAGTTTTGTCTTTAGGAAACGTAGAGATTATAAACAATTTATGTAGTTTAAGGTGAAGAAAATATTTTGTCTCTTATCAACTGCTTTCCCTGCAGGATTCGCTTTATGATTTATGGGAATTTCCGTAATTTATCCCAAATTTAACAAATGATGATGTTATCACAGGAAAATGAATAATTTTTTCACCCCATTTTTACTGTGGAAGGTAATTCCAGCAGATCTGGTTTAATCAGTTCTAGCAGCAGAGGAGTGAGGCGTCTCCGTATTCATATCTATGTGCTAATCTGATGCAAATATCCACATCCTTGATTTTTCGCAGCAGATTTTACCTCAAAATGATAAAAAAAAAGCTGGAATGAAACCAGCAAGTTCTGGAAATATGAACACCTCAGTTTAAAATCCAGTACAGTTTAATTAAAGTTGATATGCGACGGCTTTTGTTTCGCATTAACTGCTCTCAGGTTGTGCGGGAAGCTGCTGATGGAGGCAGGCTCTAAGGTCCTCCTGTTGAGGCTAACCTGAGTGAAGGCTAGATGAAGGACGGTCTCAGAGGCCAGCGACTGCAGGTGGTGCTTCCTGGCCAGAGCCAAAGCCTGCAGGAGGAGAGGAAGAGCCGTGGAGAAGCTGGATGACTCCCAGTGAAGCTTGGCGGTGGACAGCATCACCCTGGATGGAAGAGGATCAGTTAAAACCGCAGGAAGGACTGCGTTTGGTGCTCAGCAGATGGATCGGGAAGCAGAAACAAGACAAGAACCAAACCTGATGATGATCTCCGTGGATTTGGTTTTCTCACACTGAACCTGCAGCTGCTGCAGGATGCTGTATGCCTCGGTGCTGCGGTTCAGGGCTTTCAGGACTTGTGCTTTCCTGTCATCAAACACGTTTTTAACTACGGCTACATTATAAAACTTGTGTGAAACATCAGCTATGAGGAGCAGAAGGGAAGAAGTGTGCCTCCGCCTCACCGGTAAAGCCCCTCCGTCTGGTTTAGAGCAGACATCGCCTTCACCAGCGGCTCGGCTAAATGGTACTTCCTGTTGTTCATGTGTCTCTCAAACTCAATTTTCAGTTCGCAGAGCATCCAGAGCTGGAGAAACAATCAAGATGAAGACAAATGAATATATTTATAAAATATTTTAACTGAAACATGTTAGTGCAATAAGAAAATACCTTTGAATGCTGTGTGTGAGGAGGAAACTGTTCCCTCAGATGCTGGAAAACCTCTGCAGCAGCTTTGTAAAGCCCCTGGAACAGAAACAAGGACAGGAGATGAATCTCCGCCAGAAGCTGGAGCACCAACCTGTTTATTAACACAGCTTCCCAGAGAGAACCAGGAGAGGAAGCAGCTTATTACCTGCTCAGCATGCAGCTCGGCCAGATGGCACAGAGCTACAGCAAATGCCTCCGTGTTGTTCTGATGGACCCCGAAGTTGACCGGCTCCAGGCTGCTCATGTTGAGGAGAAGCTGGGCCTGCTGCAGAGCCATGGTGCTGGAAGGAGAGCGCACCAAGATTAAAAACGGTTTTTAATGCTTGTTTCCACACCTCGGTTAACAGCAATACGACGAGTTTCAAGGCCAAATTCTCTTTACATTTAAAGCTGAGGTGTGTTGGCCTCCACTTACCGCTACCATTGATTATGTTACTTTTAATATCATGTAAACATAATAAAGAACTAAATCGCATAGAATCAGAATCAATGATAACATTTATATCAGTAGTACATGGAAACATCAAATTATGGCGACATGAAGCTTTAATGAAGCCTTGAAGCTCTTCCTGTTTTTCTATGGAGTGAATTTTGTTCCACTATTGTTGAGCTAGAAATAGACTTTGTAAATTGAAATTTAAAAATGATGCAATGCAGAAAAAAAAATGAGTAAGCTTCCTTTTGTTGTTATTCTTCTTTAGAATCCCCTCCCAAACATAAACCAACTGACGTTATTTTATTTCCCAAATTCCTGTTTTTCAGAGTGAGTTTTATGGATTCCTCTTTAATCTCTTTAAATCTGGGGGCGGGCTTTCCTCTAAATAGAGGAGTGAAGATCTATTGCTATTGGTCTCATGGATGTTAGCAACAACATTTTTATTGGCAATGAAGAACATCTGAAAGGGGCTTTGAGAGAAGAATGAAGAGTGCTGGTAAAGAATAATCCAATGGATTTTGTTCCCAAGTTTGAAGACGTTTCGCTTCCCATCCGAAACGTTTACAATTCAAAATGTCAGATTTGGAGTTTGATAGAGTGGACCAAAAGAAAAGCCTTTTTTTGGCTTAGAAAACATGCCAATTGAACCGGATGAACGGGTCCTCTATTGTGGAACGGGCGTCAGTTTGGGTTCTTTGTTGGATGCAATGCCCAATACTGGTCTATGTCTCTGAAAGGGGGTCGTTAGGGAGAACTGGTGGTCTGGCTCAACAGGCGAGGTCTTCTGTTCCCCTGTACACACCCCCATACAAGGGGTGTGCACTGGGGAACAGTTTTTTTTCCCCATTTCCCCATACTATTTTGGAATGAAGAGAATGTGATCTAAAAAAAACACAACTAAAAAATGTAATTCGTAAAACTCTCAGAGAGATATCAGAAAAAAATGAAAATATGAAATCTTAATTACAAGAAAAATTAAAATTTTGAAAAATAAAATTGGTGTTTTTAATTAAAGCTTGGTTTTGCTTAAAGTGTTTCTCAAAGTTTCATTACTTAACTGGATTTTTTTTTTAAGTTCTGTTTACAAAATATGATCTTTCCTTTGCTAAAATAATGAAACAAAATTTAAATGTATGTATTTCATGATTTATTTCGGCCCTCCATATATACTTCAGGGATCTGGATGTAAAAATCATCCACTCACCTGTAACTAATGAAACTTGTTTACAATCCTGGTATAATTACAGTGTAGGTACCAGATCTGCTCAGGCGGACAGATCTGCTCGTGGCCCCGCCTCTTCTTATAAAATCAAAATATGGCAACTCCACTCGGACAAACTGTATCGCACCGGTTTCTTAAGGATCAAATCTGTTTTGGAGTTTCAACATATTATTTCCTATATTTGTTATTATTTCACATTTTATTGGTGATCTAAAGTAGTCGAAAGTAGAAAACAATGATTGTCAGTCTTGAAGGAAAGTACTGACTTCTAAGACTGAGCTCTGCCATTTAACGAGGTTACAAAAACAAAAGTTCTTTTTATTATGATCTGAGGGCAGGGAGGACAAATGGAACATCTTAAAAATGACTTTCTTAGAGACTTTAGAAAAATAAAAGTTATTCTACTTGTAGGAAATGAACGGTTGTTTTTGATACACAATCAAAAGTAGTGTAGCTTAATGTGGCTAACTGACCGAGCTAAAAGAGGCCAACCTGTTAGCTACCGAGCACAGCTATCCACAGCGCTACCCGGCTCTCCCCCTTTATATCATGGACTAACAGTTACTTTGTTCACCATAAACAGATTTTTCTCAATTTTGTTATCGATCAGGTAAAACGTTATCAGTCATTAGACCCGCTAACGCTACAGAGGCTCCCGACTCGGCACACGGACGCTGCCTGATGTTATTATCGTTATCTGGGCAACCACTATGTTTTACATCATGTGGCAACGTTGAGCCAATCATGTAGCGTAACGTCACTGGCATGAAGCAGGACCCGAGCAGATCTGCTAGCTACAACGGCTCTAATGCTGCGTTCACACCGGACGCAGCTGGCGCGACAGAAGCAGCGAGTTTACATGCGAAGTCAATGGTTGACGCGCATCAAGGCACAGCAAAAGGTCCCGCAGCGCGTCTGAGCAGCTGAAGCAGCGTGTCGGGCGCGTTTAAGCATCTGCCGCGCCGCAAACGCGCTGCTGCTCGAGATGGAAAAATAATTTGTTTTGCTGCTCGACGCGCCGCGTCAACCAATCAGAGAAGCTGGCAGGGAGAGACACACATCGCTGATGATACAGAGCCCTGTGATCACTCCTCTGAAACAGTTTATTGACGCATAAATTAACTTAAAATGCAGAAATCTGCCGGCAAAACATGTTCGCTTTTATTATCCTGGTGCCTGCAGTTTAGATTATTTAGATGAAAAACACCTACCAGCCGACGCGGTGAACCGCTAGAAGGAGGCGACCCGGCCAGAGGCTGCTGATGAAGGGATTCCTTCTGTCGGCGCACCGCTGGTATGTGGGGGTCTGAGCGGCTCCGACAGAAATAACATTGGAAGGCAGGATGATAATCTGAATGAACTGACTGCACTGATGAAGTTTTCAGGTGGACTTAAAAACATATTAAAACTACTTTATTCCCACTGATCACAGCAAATATAGCTGCAAGGCAGAGAAAGGATAGTGAAGCTCCGCTCAACGCGCATCAGACACACTTTTGCACCGCGCAGCCAGAGCAGCGAAGCTGCTTCAGCCGCGCGTCAGAACTAACTGGTACAAGCAGCAAAAATGAAGCAGCAGACGCGATTTTGCTGCTCTTGCTGCATCCGGTGTGAACGTAACATAAGTGGATGGCTCTGGCAGCTAAAGGCACGTTTAAGTCTCTTTACTCCAGTTAACGAGTAATGGATTAATAAATTAGTTGACTATTATTTCAATAATCGATCAATCTGATTAATTGTTTCAGTCCCATTTCAAATCTAGAAAAACCTTCAAAAACCTGCAAGAACAGTGTCTTTTAAAAGCTATTTTCAACAACATTCAGGGCTGTTAACTTGTTGTTTTTATTTTACATTTAGGACTTTAAGGACCCCTCGTGTTAAGTTTGAATAACTGTCCTGAATTTTTGTTTCTCCTCATTCCAAGTTTCTCTGCGGACAGTTAGGGTTAGATGGACAATGGAAACGTTTTAGTTCGAGGTGAGTCACGAATTGGACTGGGTAAAAAAATAGATTTAATTGATTTTGAATCGATTCCCTTACATTTTTGCAAAATCGATCGATTAGTTTTAAGATGCGTGACGTTCACATTCAAATGAGCAGAAAAGATGCACTGAAGATTACTTCAAGCCAGACAGCTGCAAATATAGCCAATAGGTTGACTGAAGACATTAAGAAATGGGGGCTGACCAGAAAGCACCCTGTAGTTGTTAAAAAACAACGCTGCAAATATGGTTTGTGCAGTGAAGATAATGCACTAATGCATGTCTGCTGTGTCATGTCTGCTTGATCGAGTGACGCTTCACTTTTTCACTTCTCACAAAAAAAGTTTGCACTTATGAGACAGTTCTGTTCACATCTCAGGTTTAAACTGTCTGATTTACAAGTTTGCACTTTGTGTTTAATGTGACAGGAAAAAAAATCAAATACATGAGTGTTTTGAAACACAGTTGAACCACTTTTGTTATTGTAAAAACAGATCGAATCGAAATGAATCGATTTTGAACTGTATTAATCAAAATCGATTCAGAACTTTGGCGAAAATACCCAGCCCTAGTCACGAACATCCTGAAAATCCCACAGTAATGTGGGTCAAGCTACAACTTTCTGAGCCGCACTTGAAATGTTCCCGGTGGGTGCGTGTAAATATTGGACCCAGTGTGTGAGGCCGGCAGAGGGAAGAGCCTGACCTCTTTCCGTACATCCTCCATATGGAGGTGGTCTGAGCCAGGCTGATCTCGATCAGCTCCGACAGGCTGTGCTTCCAGTGCAGGATCTCTGTGTCCTTCAGAGCGTCCATCAGCTTGTGTGCAGCCTTGCCCTGCATCGCCCCCTGCTGGACCAGCGACTGAATGTCCAGAGATCCCAAGTACTACAGAAGAGAGGAGAGACAAACATTCTTTGTTTACAGAACAAACTGTTATGGGAAGCTGCACCTTTGCATTTAAAATATTTATATTGCTTTGGTTCATCATCAGAGACATATAAACTTAGAACAAAAAGAAATGATAATGTTTATGTCTACTAAAACAAAAAACGACATCATCATCATCAAAAGCATCAGAGCAGCATCATCACTATTTATATAATTAATCAGGGATGTGGATTCTAGGAATTTCTGCTTCAGAGATAGAAGTGTGAAGCAAACAAACTTATATCACCTCCAACAGCAGCCGCTGAGGGGGCGGAACCATGCAGACACTAACAGTAGAGCCTCTACATAAACTAATCTTTACCCTATCCAAACTCGAACAAACGCGTGGGCGTCGCATCTGCATGGTCAGGTAGCAGACTTCCTCCTGGGAAGCTGCAAAAACACTTTAACTCGTCTGAACCGCCTGTGGCGACGTTGAAACTGGCAGCAAAGTCAGGATCAACAGCAACGGCTTCTGACTCTATAGGTAACGAACATGCAGGTTCAAACACGACACATTTTTCTGTAGTCTCTCACAACTGTGAGGAAAAGTGAACTAAATGTAAGAATGAATGTATTTGCTCTTGATTTGAGGTGGTAAGCAAAATGATTTGCAATGGAATAACGCTTTTGCACTAAAAACAAACAAAAACATGCATTTTGTAGCTTATTTTGGGAGACAAAATAGTGATTCCATTAGCAGATAAATTTACAGCCAAGCTCAAATGAAGGGTAAATTCTCTCATTTCAAGAAAGTTTTACAGGGTTCCCGCGGGTCCTTAAAAAGTCTTAAAAGGCATTGAATTCTTCAAAATAAAATAAGGCCTTAATTGGTTTTAAAATGTCTTAAATCAGTCTTTTGTAGGTCTTGATTTTTAAAACATCATAAATAGGATTATTTTTATTACAATTCATTTTTGTAATCTAAATAAAACTTTAATATTGACAACTTTTTTTCTTCTTTTTATAAAAAAAACAAATAATGGCTCGCCATTATTGGTTCCGTCCCGATAGTGGAAAAATAAAAGCGTTGTTGCGGCCGGGACATTTGGGAGATGCACCATTAACTTTTTGTCTGGAAAATATGAGCAAGTGTAAATGTAACGATAATTGTCTCCAGCCAAGAGTTTTCTCCATGGCTAAAACCAGGGAACATACATGAGGCTCAGTGGATTTTGTGCAAGAAGTCATTCAAGCTCAGAACGATGGGAATTAAGGCAGTGGAGTCATACATGCGAAGCGCGAAACACAAGGCGTCAAAATGGAGTTACAGAGAAACAGCCGGTATTTCTCAGTTTAGTTCCACCCTTGTCTCTGCAACGCCTCCACTTATCACCAAATCAAACATACTAAGAAAACGATACAAAGAAAAATAGCTGCAAAAAAGACTTAGCACTGGTTATGTTGTGGCTTTAAAACTGATTTGTTTTGTTCCCTGCTAAAACAAAGTTTGTGAATTCAGTGAAATAATTGTTCAAATATATCTGTCATTTGTGTGTTTTTAGCTTTCTTCCTGTATGGGAAGCTTTTCAAAATGTGAAACATTAGTGCAGTGGTTTATGTTAAAATAAACCTTTGGGTTAAGTTGTCGCAAGCAGGTTTTTCTTGTGTTTCTTGTGAATTTGGTCGTAAATTTTTATTTCAAGTGGCATTAAAAAGTCTTAAAAAGTCTTGAATTTAACTTGCCTTATGCTGTAGGAACCCTGTTTTACTTAAAGTTTGAACAATTTAGCCGCAAAGCTGTTTCAATAAAGTTCAAATCAAGAAATTGTCTAATATCTGTTGGTCTGTTAAAGAACTCAGAGCTGCAGCTATCCATTCTAACGGTAATGGATTAATCTATCTGTAAGAGCCAATTGGAGGCAAATTAATTTATATTTTTAAAAAGGTTAGAATACAAAATTAATACATTTTTTCATTAAAGTTATCATTTAAGTTTACAAACGCTAAAATCAAAAGCATAGGGTTTAAAAATGCTGTTTGTAATGCATATTTTTGGGCTTCCTGCTTGCTGTAATTCCATATGCTTTTTGTTTTTCGTTGTACGTACTGTACGAACAACAAAAAACATTTTATTTTTTAAGGAACACAGTTTTTGACTGAGTTTAAATATAAGAAATATAACCACGGATGTCTGGGGGACAGTGATTGGCCTCCATGTTCTGAATGCTGGCGTACCATAAAGAATAAATGATGAACAGTTCAGTTTGTGCTTCAAGTCGTTGCCCATAGGAAGACGTTACTTGGATATAACCAAACAGAATATCTTCAGAACGGCTCCAAATGACACTAAACTTATATGGGTGAGTAGAACATGATGTAATAACGAAAAATCAAGGGCCAAATGAAAAAAAAAACGGCGTTCCCCTTTAAATACATTTCATATATATATATATATAATAATAAGCATATAACAAGTTAAAATTGGGTTTTTTCCTCGGATGTTTAATATTGCTAATTAGCTTAATCCCCAAATTTACACCAATTATTATTAAGTATAATGTTCAAATTAATAAAAATCTTGATTGATTTTTTTTTAGTTGGTGGAGAATATTCAAGGTAAAATAAGAAACAAATATATGAAAAAATCTTCTATAAACAGTGTTGATAAAGTTGTGATTTTAATCAACCAGGTAAGTCAGTTTTTACTGAGCCGACCGGATGTTGTAAGTCCTGAAAATTAATCTCTAGCCTAAAAAATAGCCAATGCAACACTAATGAGCACATTCTCATCTAAAAGGTCACGTTTCACTCACCGGCAGGCAGAAATGAGCGGCCATTTTCACTGAGTCCTGAGTTAGCACTGTGCTACTAGAGCCTTTCATTTGTTCCAGCGTGTAAAGCCAGCTCTACCAGAGAAAACATTTATTAAGTTATGAAAGCTCCATGGCAGGGTTACTGTGCAGTCACAACGTTACAGAGATCTGTTTGCTTTACCAGGCAGTGCTGCAAGCACACGTGGTCATTGGACTCCTGGGCGATGCGGATAGCTTCCTGTAGAGCCAGATCTGCTTGTTGACTGAGAGGATAAACACGCATAAAATAATCATATCAGGAAAGTTTTCAGTTGATCCATATAAACCCTGACTGCTGTGCTCACTAGTGGCCGAAGCGACAGTGCAGGCTGGCCAGATTCAGAGCGGCGTAGCGAAGACTTCGACCATAGCCTTCGTCTCCGTTGCTCTTGGCCTCGCTGCTGGACAGGATGAGGCGGTCGAAGTAATGCAGGAGGCTGTGAGCAGAGAGGAAGATGTCCTGGACTCTCATGCTGTTCAGGTAGTTCAGGTAATGCTGTTAATGAGAAGAAACCATTATCTCCAATCAACTGAATCATGACAGTAAACCACTCTTATGTTTTATAGAAAATAAAGAATCAACATACAATTCCACTCTGAACTAAAGGGGAGATTTAAAGCTAATATCCGCTTAAACACTGGGTTTCTTTTTAATGACAGATTTCCAGAAACCTCCTCAATTAGCTGCATTTTAAAGGAACATAAACGGCTATTTGGGTTTTCAAAGAGAAACCGGAAGAAGAACAAAGTCATAATTAGTCAGGTTATCTGCTAGCATCTAGCTGCTCATCAATTTCCTCCTTGAAAGTCTATCTGCCTTCCAATTTAATTCCAAAAATGTTAAAAAAAACAATCCACTGGACTTTGTTTCCAAGTTTGAACACATTTCGCTTCCCATCCAGGAAGCTTGTTCAATTCAAATGTCAGGAATAGCGTTGAGTTCGAGGCTTTATACAGTAGCTCAACAAAGCCTTTTTTTTTTGGAAAACATGCAAATTGAAACACTAACTATACTGAACAATAGAGAGTGAGTTTACATAAAGTGATCGTTGTGGCAAGAGCCTGTTTTTGAAAATGGATCGCATACATGCATTATATGCTGTTATCTCATTTGCAATCGGATGCAATTTTTTAATGTAGGCTGGTGAAATAAATTAATAATTCAATAGAAAATGCGCGGCAACATGAATGGAGTGAGGTGTTACGTTCACAGCTGGGAAAAGGTCCGATAATTTAACAGCCAGTTAAATAAGACGATACACATGTATCGGAGATGGATGGATGGAAACGGATCGGTGACATAATTAAATCAAACAGTTTGTCCCAGGGCCCTGGCATTATTACATGAAAGGAAACGCCTTCTCTTGATAATATGAGCGATTTTGCTGGCGCAGCAGGAAAATTTATGCGGAGCGTCCTGGTGCAACTCTGAGCGGCAAAAATGCTCATGACCTCACCGCTTCAGCGAAGTCCGGGTTAAACTTCAGCATGTTGTTGAGCTCCTCCTGCAGCACTGCAGGCTTCAGGGCTTTGTTCTCATCGTTCTTCAGAAGATACGCCTGCAGAGAAATGATCCTGGAGTCAATGAGGAGGTCTGATTGTATCTGGAACACATTTCTAAACATGGATTATAAACATTTCATTCAGACTCAGTGCAGACACACCTGTTTAGCGAGGAAGTATTCCGCCTGTTTCTGAGAAAGAGGACCTCGGTTTGCAGCTTTATCAGATCTAAAACCCAAAAAAGACTCTGAAGTTAAGCAGCTTTCTACGGAGCCCCTAAAGGGACATGGAGGGAAAAAATAAACTTTTGCAAGAAAAAGTATTGCGAGATCCCGCAAAAGTATTGCGGGATCTCGCAAAAGGTATTTTTTTCCCCTCCATGTCCCTTTAGGGGCTCCGTAGCTTTAACAAAAAAACAATGCCCAACTGAAACTGGGTTTTGGTTAATCGATATTTCTTTTTTTAAATCAGCTCATAAAATTTGAAGTTTCCAATATCAAATTGATTCTAGAACCAAATAAAACAGCAAAGCTAACCGGAGTTCGGACTCATGCAGTGGGGTGTCCAGCTCCTCTCTGTCCCCCACAGTCTCCTCAACGCTGGTCAGGTCCATTTCCGAGTCATCTGCCGCCAGCGTGGGCAGCCCCACCTGCCCGTCCCTGGGCTTGGCATAGTGGCTGTGGTAATAGTGCTGCAGGGACTTGTACAGCTTGTAAACCTGACTGAAGGACAGCTTGTTGTAGGCCAGCAGCATGTGTCTCATAAAAAGACCTGCAGAGCAGACAGGCGGCCGGCAGACGTGAGAAACAAAGCGATTTGGTTAAACCAAGAGGGTTTAGTAGATGAGAAGGTTAACTCACCCACAACGCTGGTTTTATAAGCCTCTGAATCAAAAGGGGTGAATGGAGTGGGCAGAGTGGAGAAAAAGTACTCCATGTCTTTCAGCTCGCCGTCTGCCATTTCATGCAGCCTGTAGGGATTGGAAACGGCAACATTCTGTGTGATAAACTGACTGCAGAGACAACCTAAAACCTTCTATCCAATTCATCAGCAATCTCATAATCCATCACAATATCTGGATTAAAAAACTCCTAAATCTACCTGGACTATTCGCCATTACCTACAGACTAATTGACACCCTGATTTGATCGGTTATTCCTTTCGTTACATTTCTTAAAAACAAAATAAAAAAACCCTGTTGATGCTTTGCCATGTAGGTCAGACTCAGTTTAAAGGAATAGTACACCCAAAACATGATTAGCCTTCATTTTCTACTCACCCCCATGCTGAACAACACTCTGGAGTACTTTTTTGATATCTCAAATGCATCTGGAGATCTGGGAGGCTTCTTACTGTCTGCTGACATTCAAATAATGGAGGTCTATGGTGCCCGAGGCAGAAAGGTCCATAAAAGTCCACAAAAAACGTGTCAATATTCCTCCATACTGCTCGTCCAATGTATTCCAAGTGTCCTGAGTGGGTAGCGTCCATAATTTACTCAAAACAAAGTCATTTAGAATGTTTTTAGAGCATAAACAGTAGTGTATAGGATTTCCTAAAAGCGCGCTCACGAGCCTACGGAAACCGCGGCAGACCAAACCAGACGAAAGTGTGCATTCAGCTCGGCAAAGAACTCATGCTCTTCCTCAACACTGAAGTCCTCAGACATTTTTCTTTCGTTGTTTCTTTCTTTGCACAGGTAAACAGCACATTTCTTCTTCTACGCTTGCATTATCGGCAGAGCAGACGCTGAATGCGCACTTTCATCTGGTTTGGTCTGCCGCAGTTTCCGTAGACTCGTGAACTCGCTTTTAGGAAATCCTATACACTACTGTTTATGCTCTAAAACATTCTAAATGACTTTGTTTCGAGTAAATTATGGACGCTACCCACTCAGGACACTTGGAATACATTGGACGAGCAGTATGGAGGAATATTGACACGTTTTTTGTGGACTTTTATGGACCTTTCTGGCTCGGGCGCCATAGACCTCCATTATTTGAATGTCAGCAGACAGCAAGAAGCCTCCCAGTTCTCCAGATGCATTTGAGATATCAAAAAAGTACTCCAGAGTGTTGTTCAGCATGGGGGTGAGTAGAAAATGAAGGCTAATCATGTTTTGGGTGTACTATTCCTTTAAGAACCAGATTAAATTCTAAGATTAAAACCCTGATGTAGAAAGGTCTTTAAAAATGCCTGAAAGGCTGTCCGTTTATCTCGGGGTTCTACGTATGGACCAGAAGAAATTAAAACCAAATTAAATTAAAACCAATCAACAATGGCACAAAAAAATAAGATTTATAGCAAATAAAAAAAAAGGAATCTAAATGCAAACTATTGTGTATTCTCAGAACTTTTGTTTTTGTCTGTTAAAATAACATAAAATAAAGGAAAATGTAAGTGGAAAGCTTAAAAAACACTTTATCTGAGAAAATCAAGTTTTATTCCTGGCAAAAATCCGATTCTTACATCAGACATTTGAACCTGATGAGATCTGAAATGCAACACCCGGAAAATTCTGCTGCGTCCACAGAGGAAGGCCTACAGACTGAGAAACGTTCAATGAGCCAGAAGTTAATTTTTTTTTTAAGAAACAAACAGAACTCTTATTTTTAGCTGATCAGAACTGTTCCAACTTTTCCAGTTCTTAATGTCTCCCTGTGAGGAGTTTAACCTTGCATCGCCCCCTGCTGGACATGCAAAGCCAGAGTTTTTGGAAAAACCACAATTAGTGTTGATCCATTTATTAAATGAAGAAGAATTAGGTGGTTTATACATGTAGAAATACAAATTTTATTTGACTGTATCAATTAAGCGTAGAGAAACTAAACAGAGCACAGCATGACTGAAGTAGTAGTGAAAAAAAGTGTATAAAATGTTCCAGCACCCATGATATTACATTGCTTAAAGCTTCAATGGGTACCGAGGTGGATCCTGACACTTGGATAAACTTGCTACCATCAGCTTAAAGCCGTTTTTCACTGAAAGCTTGAGGTTATTGTAGCTGAACGCTGCCAGCAGTCAGTGTGATCATCTCAGTTTAAATCCGTCTCTGATCACAAGCAGGACAATGAAAGCCACGTCTACATGATCTCCTGTTTACCGTGTTCAATCAAGCCCAGCTAAACTAATTGTTAAAGAAATGCTTATACTGTGCAAAGATTCCTCTCAGTTAAACTTCTGTTTTTAAAATTTGAATAGTGTGGATGTTTTTGGTCACATTTGGTTACGTTTTGTTATCCTAACAAGTAAATATTGATATTTTTATTGAGAAAATTTACTACATACAAATTAAGAATTTTGAACCCAAAAAATATGGCTTGTATTTACGCATTTAGGTTCAGGGATTAAGTCTAATTTATGCTTGGATTGTTGTTCTAGTTTAGAACAGGCATTAGAAATAACTGCTTACATTTTGGAAGATTTTATTCTATTATTTTTTGCAACCCACAGAGCCCAAAATTTTTTTTAGCCCTTTTTTTAGAGTTAGACAACTTTTATTGTCATTTTGTACAGCTCTCATGACAAATTGATTAATCTGTTGATACATGTTTCTATTAAACAATTAATAATAGGATAGTCAAAGGTTTCTTAAATACTTTTTACTAAATAAAAACCTGGGTAAACTACAATGAAGGACATATTTACAATATTTATTTTTTACAATTTTGCTATGATTACTGCTCTAAGTGAGTCGCTCTGTCACCTGTATGTTTTATTTTCTAAACTCAGTTTAATGATTAATCAATTACTAAATTAGTTGGTGATCCTTTGTTTCAGCCTAAGTGGAAGAGAGAACATTTCACTATCTTGCTTTTGATAGGCGTGCCTGTAGTCACATAGATATACCTCATTCAGATTTAATTGTTCAATGGAAGTGATAAAGTTCCACCAAACCACATAAAACTTAAGCAGATTTATTAGTATACATTATTCTTGATCTTAGAGTCATTAATCCAAACTGGCCAGGAATGCAGCACTAGGTTAGACGGCATATAGGCTGAGATGTCAAATGAAAACTAAAACCATAGTTTCAACCAAAAAGGGGGTTTTAGTAAAATCCAACAATTAAAAATATGTAATTTAAAGAATGCAAATTAGCAAATTAGATCTCTATTCTACCACTCTGCAGAATCTGTTAGTTCAATCTCTAACGTTCTGCTCTCTCTGCTTTTTCTCATAGTAGCTTCATCTGGTCTGTTCCTGTTTGGCTGTGACTCCATCCTGGAGAGAAATATCAGCTGTGCTGCTGCCATCAACACCTTTGTTTCTAGATGTTGGAGCTTGGCCTGTTTTCCAGTGTAGTCCTGTTTCTCTGACTGTGACTGGCTGGATGTGCTCTCTTCATCCTCTAACATGGGAGCTTGCTCAGTGCTTGTCTGCCTGGCTGTGTGTTTCCTGGACGGGGCCGTCTTTTACAGCTGCTTTTTATATCTCTGCTTCTGTCTCCTTGAACCTCAGTCGGCCTCAGCAGATGGCTGCTCAAACTAAAGGGCTGGTTATCCTCCCGCAGCAGTGAGTCGCAGTGATCTTGTCACTGATATTTTTGATTTATGTCCAATATTGAAGTGTGGTCTGTGCTATGTTATTCCACGGCACAACGCAAGAGAGACAATCACGAGCTAGCTGTAGGTCTATATACGGCCGCGGCGGTGAGCAAGTCAGCGCCAGGTTTGTCCGAAAACGGAGGTACATGAAGGCGAAAAGGAGCGGGGATTCAGGTGGGAAAAGGGTCCCAGCGTTCTCACACACCTCGCTCTTCAAGCTGGTCCAACTTCACAAGTCTTTTATGCAATGGCGGTCATAAAACAAAACAAGCCGGTAAGGTACCAAACAGGAAATACTGATAGTGTAGAGAGGATGTAGATTTGACCAATCAGAGGCCTCCTGTCACCTACAATTTTGGAGAGGTCCAGCAGATTCTGCGGCAGGGGCGGAGGTACATTTGCATTCACTGCGACACACGCAGACGACCCTGTTGCTGAGCATACTCAAAGTTTCTTTCTGATAAAAGGGAGTTTTTCCTCTCCACTGTCGCCACAAACACGCTTAGGGTGAGGGATTGCCTTTGAGTCAATGAGTTGATGCAATCAACTGGTTTTCCTTGGATAGAAAACTTTTATTCAATTTGACTGGATGATCTGGTGAACTGTAAAGTGCCTTGAGATGACATGATGTGAATTGGCGCTATAAAAATAAACTGAATTGAATTGGTTTGCATGTTAAAAAAAAACAAAGGTGCTCTATTAATAATCAAGATAACTTAAATTTATAGCAAAGGTTGTTATGCAATAATAGATGTGGGATGGAAACATGGTGAGGCAGCAGACCTTAGATTCACTGCATATGCGGTCCGAGGACAACACTCCTCCACAATCTTCAGGAACTGACCCAGGGTCAGATCCGGACCCTGAAACATGACATTAAAAACACGGTGAACAACAGATGCAACCCGCCAGGGAAACCAAACACGTCTGGATTATTAAAAACAGACCTGCTGCAGCGGCAGGATGAGTTTATTCAGCCGCCTCCTCTCAGGCAGGGTGATCTTAGAGGAGGACATCTCATACAGCAGCGCCAGCACGGAGATTTTATACGGGCTCACCCAGTCTTTGATGCCGAACACGTTAGCGTGGACCACCCCGTTAGTCATCATGGGGTTAAAATACAAACTTTCATGCACACTCGCCATCCTCCAGCAGCTTAACGGACTCTCTAACCTAAAGATGCTAAAGGAGTAAGCTAGCTTCCAGAGCTAGGCGCGTTAGCTTTAGAAAAGACGCAAAAAAAGAGTAAAGATGTATCTGCGTTCATCCTGGAAACCTTCCAGCGTACATATTTTAACTTAAAATAACAAAGCTACTAAAGCCTCGAAATAAATTCACTTTATCTTTCAAATACTTGTACCGGTTGGCTGTCTTACTTTCAAACCACCCTCTATCTGTCGCTTTAAATTGACGTCATAAGAAAATGATGGTTTGCGTAAGCCGTCCGTCATATTGGGAGTGGCGAATTCGGATACAAAACATTTATTTATACATTCTTGGGGTGATTTCCCTGTTCAAGAACAATTAAAATGTCCATACGAGGTTATTTTCTGATGTTGCTATATTTATTAAAGCTTCAGCTCGGATCTTCACCAGGTCTTTTATTCTTATTCTGCCTCTAAAATGTGTATATATTAAAAACAAGATATTATGGGGAAAATAACTGATATGGATGATGGATAAAATGTATCATACTGTTTTTGTTTGTATATATGGTAGAAGAGATTATTGTGGTTAATAAACGCAATTCGAAGATGGGAGTTTGTAAAGCTCAATTGGAAAAACTGAAATAAAAAAAGAGAAGATTTAAGTTTTAAAATCTGTAAAAAAAAAAAAAGTTTGAAAATAATGAAATCTGAAACAATTTAACTTGGAAAAAATAAAATATAAAAAAGCTGTTTTATCTGAAAAATATAAAAAACAAATGTGAAAAAATAAATATGAAAAATAAATGTGAAAAAAAAAATAGATTGGAAAAACAAGATTTGAGAAAAAAACACAAAGTTACTACAAAACAAAACAACTTTTGATTAAAAAAAATTCTACAAATTTTGATATCTGGTTTCCATTTTTAATTTTTTTTATTTTAAAGCTACAGTGTGTAATAATTACAGGGATATACAGTCAGAAATGTAATATATTATACATAACTATGTTATTCATCATCATCTACGAGCTCAGCCTCTTAACCTTAATATTTGCGTTGCCTTAGAATTCGTTATTTATAATTACATAGGAGCGGGTCTCGCAGCCATGGAGGCAGACATCTTTGCGCTACGGCAGCGCAGAGCCAACAAACTAGCGATTGCGAGATCGCCAAAACGTCAAGGTAGGTGAAGCGGACGTCTTGGAAGACATTTTGTCCCGTAACGCTCGCCGTACTGTTGGGGGGGAGAAGCGGTGGGGGGGAGATGTTCATGTTGCTGCAGTCTGCAGTCTGACCGCTAGATGTCGCTAAAAGTTACACACTGTAGCTTTAATTAGCAAAACATCTTCTTTGGTTGCAACAATATTGACTCCACATAGGTGTGAGAGTGTTTGCGGTTGGTCTTGTGTCCCTGTACGGACTGGTGTCCTGTCCAGCCCGCCCTGTTTCAAGTTCCTTATATGCAAGGGGCAAAAGGCAGATGACACGAAAACTTAATTTATCAGGAACAAAACAGTGTTGCAATAAGCATGCCATGTATTATTGTGTTACACCTGATTTAATATGTTTAAAAATATATATTGTGCAGACTGAAAATATAATGACTGAGTGGTTAGGGCAGATTTGAGGGCTCCAGTCTATCCACAGCATTACTGTTTTCTCACTGAACAGATGGCTTCAGCAGTGCTGGGAACACCGGTGCAGGCTATTGGCTCCATAGCCATGCAGGAGGGGATTGCCTGTTGCTTCACACATGTTCCAACAATATGGTGGTCCTCCAGTACCGCTGGACCAGTTGGTAATTAAAAGGGCTCCTGTTTCCATCAAACTATAGGGGCATCTTTAATGATGTTGTTTGAATAATTTAGTAAATACATTTACATTTTAGGGGCTATGGACCATATAATTAAAGAGATGCTTTGATTGAAGAAACGTTACTGCAAATAACATGTTGTGATCTGCTTTTAGCCTTTCTTTGTGCATCCCTTCATATTAGAATGCAAATTTTTGATTCACTTTCATGACACGTCTTACCGAAAGACTCGCTTCATTTCCTCAGATTCCTGCATTGATGCTCCCCATGCAGAAGGAAACGCTGCTCAGTTCAGATTCTTGTTAGTTTGAGACAAAGATTATTGAAAGGATGCGACTTTTCCCAGAAGATGGCACTGTTTGATTTCCTTCAGTGGTGGCGGGTCATCAGGAGGCAGCACCAGGAATCCTCTCATCTCTCTCTGTCACGTTCCTGTTGGTGTGAAGTCAGCAGACAGACAGACAATAATTCCTGTCTTAGCTGATATTGTTTTAAAAGCTTCAATAAATTTGCCATAAATGCCTCTGTCAAGACATGAGTCACGATGAGCTAACATTACCAGCTGAATGACTTTGGAGTTTTTAGGGATGTTTGATGTTCAGGGCAGAAACACAAACAAACTTCAGAGCATTAGATATTGAACATTTTCTTATTTCAAATCTCTTCTGCTCTGCCTAGAAAGGTGTTTTCCCTTTGCATTTAACTGCCCTAATACAAAACTATACATTAGTGTATATAATTTTAAGCAGCTGAGTCTGTTTTAATGCATACCTAAAGTATATATTTTTAGGCTGAATCTCATTAGATGGTGATGAAGATGAATGTGGTCAATGACTACGAAAGGTGAAGGTGACAGGGGAGTGCTCTGACGCACAGGTCCACTGATGGGCTCTAAAATGATTCGCTGCTCCAGAAAAGAAAAGAAAAAATCTCTCAGGAAACGACACAACATGCAGTAATGTTTGCTATTCATAAAACATATACAGTTTTAATATTCCCCCAATAAAAGTGTTTTATGCATGCTTTACTGAGGATAAATCCAGTTTTTATTTGCAGTCTCTAAAGCGTCGAAAGGGGAGGAATTCAAGTTTTTCTAATATAAAGCTGGAGAAGGAGGTTTTTGAAAAATCTACACATTATTTTGCATTTTGTTTTAGAACAAAAAGTCATCAATAGCAGCTGAACACAAAGTTAGGTTGAATAGGATTTCTTTGTATATTGATAGGCTTTGTTCCTGTTGCTGCAAACCCTCATTCTGTCTCTGTTTCTGAACATGCCCTACTAATGAAGTGAAGATCTCTCTTTCTCAGCTTGGACATGCTCAAGCATCTGGAATACACATCGAGGATAAGATTCTCTACGTTCTGTTGATATTCCTCTCCATATGCACAGTCAATGCAAAGGCATGGATACCAACTAAAATCAGCTGAAAACTAGTATCCACACAGCATGGTGTGTTCTGGGTTACTCTCAGTCAGAGGCACTTCACCCATGTTTTTTCATGGGGCCAAAGAGCAAAAAAAAAACATTAAACCAAAAAAATTGTTTATCAAATGGTATATCAATTGAGCCACAGAACCAAGGAGCAACTTGCAGCTTTGAACTGTAAAATTTCCTCGTTATTTTTGCTAAATTCTAATTTTATCTTGGTCTGCAGCTCCTTTAGTGAAAGACTTGGACACCCTGTCTGTAAAAAGGAGCGCTACCGCAGGTCATTCATTCCTGCTGCCACCAGACTCTATAATAATGCATTATATAACCACAATAACTCCTGTAACAACCACTGTGCAGCTATATTATAGTTTTTTATTTATTGACTGTGCAATATTCTGTGCAATATGCTGACTGTGCAATATATGTGAATAGAATAGTCATACCACTACCTCACCATTGTTCCTTACCACTACACTTTAATGTAAAAGTCAATCCACCTGTATATAAGCCATCCTGATTGTACATATGTCACCTCATATCTCTGTGTTACTCCCTGGTATTTTACATTTTTTTTATTTCTTATTTTAATTTCTTTTTCTTTTCTTTTTTTATTTAATTATTTATTTTTATTCCTAATGCACCCTTTCCTCCTTGTTTGCACCTTCTTTTAGTACTATGCCAATATGTGACCAGTGAATTTCTCCAATGTGAGATCAGTAAAGCTCATCTAGTCTAATCTGATTGAAAATGAGTATTTCTAGTTAGAATGTGTTAATTTAACTTTATGTAAAATAAAAAATATAATAATTTACAAAAATAATTAGTCACTGCGTAAACATCTATTTCAAGTCCGTCAATTTTCTGTCACTCTGTTTCCCTGCTGGGGTTGCAACAGGTGCTGGTGCCTGTCTCCAACTGTCAGTGGGTGAGAGGCGGGGTTCACCCTTGACAGGTCACCAGTCCATCTCAGGGCAACACAGAGACAAACAGGACAAACAAGCATTCACAGCTTAGAAGAACTTAGAGAAGCCAATTAACCTACCAGTCAAGTTTTTAGACTGAGGAGGAAGCCGGAGTACCTGGAGAAAGCACGCATGCTCAGGGAGAACATGCAAACTCCATGCAGAAATACCCCACCCCAGGCCAGGAATTTAACCCAGAATCTTCTTGCTGTAAGGCAGCAGTGCTACCCACAGTGGAGCAGTGGGTAGCACTTAGTGGTCTTGATTACTTGCTTCAAGTCATCAGGACTTGAAGTCATCTCCTTCAAGTTAAAGGTGATAATGTGTTTTTGAACACATGATGTCACTCTCTATTGAGGCTGAATGTGACCTCATCGGTGGACCATCTGATGATTGGTGCAGCCAAGGATGAGCAAAAGTTTTTGCTACAAAATAATCTTAGGTTCTACTCAGTACCTAAATAAAACATCAGCGCGGCCAAGTGGCTGCAAACAATCTCAAACAGCAAAATTTGTTAAAGGATATTTATAGATGGGTACAGCTGCTTTTTGTATCTCTGCTTCTGTCTCCTTGAACCCCAGTCGGCCTCAGCAGATGGCTGCTCACACTGAGCCTGGTTCTGCTGGAGGTTTCTTCTTGTTAAAAGCCAGTTTTTCCTCTCCACTGTCACTCCAAGCATGCTTAGTGTGAGGGATTGCCTTCAAGTCAATGAGTCGATAGATTGGTGAACTATAAAGAGCCTTGAGATGACGTGTTGTAAAATGACACTATTTACATAAACTGAATTGA